GTTTTGGAAGAAGTGCAGCCAGAGTGCTCCTTGGAAGCCAGGATGGCTAAGCTTCGTCTCTCATGCTTTGGACAAATTGTCCGGAGGAAACAGTCGCTGGAGAAGGATGTCACGCTGGGTAAGGTGGAGGGTCAGAGAAAAAGAGGAAGACCCTTAACGAGATGGATTGGTCAAGTGGCATCATTGATGGACTCAAGTGTGGCAGCGGTAGTGAGGTTGGCCCAGGATCGGACATTGTGTTGTTTTGCTGTGCATGGGTTGCTATGAGTCGGTTCTGACTTGAGGGTACCTGACAACAACAACAACAATCTCAGACTGGATTGGCACTGTAGGATAAACACTAGACCACAAGATCAGTTTGAATTGAAAGGTCGGTAGTTGAAACTCACTAGCTACTCCTCAGAAACCCTATACGGCATCGCTATGAATAGAGAACCGACTCAATGGCACTTAACAACAGCAACAATAACAATCTCAAACTGAAAGCAGAGATTATTTTTAGGAGACTCTTGATTTCTCCACAGTTCACTGAGGAGAATGAAAGAAAGAAAAGCATAGCTTTTATCTCAGAAACTCGTTTATTATTGTTGTTGTTGTTGTTAAGTGCCATCGAGTAATTTCTGACTCATAATGACCCTGTATAGGGTTTCTGAGGAGGGGATGGTGAGTTTGAACCACTGACCTTGTGGCTCAAACCAACCTTGTTCTCAAGTGCTTAATCCTACAGTGTCACACCAGGACTCTATTCTTTTATTATATAACCTAAAACTGGCTTAATGACTGTCTTCCAGTCATGGCTTCCAACTGGTTCAGTTTGGTTAAGTTATGAATAATGAAGTGACACCATGGCAGAGACGAATATTTAAAATGTAGGTGAACCTGATGCTACCTGCAATAGGAATAATTATGGTTGAAGCCCACTAGAAATGTAATCTTCCACAGCTCTTGGTTAACTGAGTCAAAAACAATAGTGTCCAACTCAAGGATGGTGGCCGACCATGCTGCTTTGAATGTGTGCCTCTCTCCACAGTCTTGGTAATAATCTTACATCCCTTATCAGGCTACTGAAAAGGTTCACCGTGCCTCTCCAGAGTCTCCCATTCCAGGGTTCCAATCCATAATTTTTCTTGTTCCTGTTAGCATTCCAGATCACCCCAATTTAAAAATTCTGGGTCTGTTTTGCTTTCTTTTCATTGATTTGAAATGGTTCAAAGCCCAGGTTCCAAGTGTCTGAAAGTTTCCCTGAGGAAGAGATTTCGTGCTAGAAATTGTCTGGTAAGGCCTGTTTTTCTTAAAAAAAAAAAAGTTTACTTTCACATTTTCTAAGTAAAAATCGTTTTCTACCTTGAATGGAAATCTTGTGTTTCAGTGTTTAAAGCAAGGTTTTCTTAATAATGCCTTTTCCAGTATTATTTTGCTATACAGTTAGGTATATAAGAGACATTTTAGATAAAAGCTTAGACCATACTTTCAACAAATGTACACACAAATACTGCTACTCATCTACAAAAATGTTGCTTTCTTTACACTACTTGTTCCCAGAATGCAGATGGACTGGTGCTGATTTCTCATCTAACTGCCATGACCACACAGTTTCTCAGTGTCTGGCTGGAGTTAGGGGTATAAGCTAGCCCATGGAACCAAGTAAATAAAGGAGTCCAGATGTCCAGTGATCTCATTTAGTGGTTGCCCTAAATCAGGAACTGGCAAATTTCTTATGAAAAAGGCTAGAATAGATAGTTCTATTTTAGGCTTTGCAGTCCAACTGATAAAAGTTTCTGGGCTCCATATTTTACTATGATCCATCTTAAGACCCAATTCACACTCTTTTTCAAAAGAGTCTTCCACATAGGGTTGATTTATAACTTCCCAATCCCCAGATCAAGTCCTGCTCTTTCCCTAATCTCATTCTGGTGTGGCGCTCTGGGATAACACCCTGGACTGCAAAATCGGTTTGAACTTCAAGGTTGGTAGTTCAAGCTCACCAGTCACTCTTTGGAAACCCTATACAGGGTTTCCAAATCAAACCAAATCAAACCAAATTGTGATAGAAAAAGAAATAGAATTTTTATTAAATTTAGTGGGGGTAGGATTTGATTTTTGAGGTCAAAAGGAGACAGTACATTTTCAGAACCATTTTACATGGCCATTTTAATGTTAAATATTGGTGTGGCACCACAGAAAAAGCACTTGACTAAGATGTCGGTTTGAACCACAAGGTCGGCAGTTTAAACTCACCAGCCACTCCTCAGAAACCATATACAGGTTGCTATGAGTTGGAATCAACTCAACGGCACTTAACAACAAGAAAACCACATCAAAGAAACTAGTCTACAAGACTAATATCTCATATAAACTATGACCATATCTAGCCTGAGACAAGATGAGCTCAAGGGTGCCCAGCTATGACGACCAACTATCCTAACCAGGGACAGAGCAGAAGATCCCAGACAATGGGAGAGAATGTAGAACAAAGCTCATACTGGACTCATAGAGACTGGCAGGTCCTCTGAGACTCTCTCCATAAGATACCCTTTGGCCTTGGAAATGAAGCCATTCCTGGTAGGTATGCCTCTTCTTGTGTTACCCATTCATATAGACACGGCTTTTACAAAATAATATTTCATCATCATTTTTCATTCAAATAATAGATTGGTTTATAAAATAAATAATATCACCTTTGAATACTTGGTTCTCTTGAATAACCAATGATATGGGATCATTATGCTCAGTATTTATCTTAAAACAAAGATGAGAAGGTAAGGAGAGGGATGGAGCTAGATTAATGCAAACAGAACAAACAGATTGAAAATAATGAGAAGGCTGACACATTTGTGAAAAATTAAAACAATTTATATAAAAATTGTTAAATGGGAACTTAATTTGTTGTGTAAATTAACCGAAAAGAATAATAAAATATTATTTTTTTAAAGTCATTTAGAAGAATGGCTAACATTTCTGTCTCAGAGATTTCTGTCCCTAATTGGGCCAAGCTAAAGATGGAGTCCTGGTATGGCACTGTAGGATAAGCACTGGACTTCAAGGTTGGTTTGAACTGCAAGATTGGTGGTTCAAACCCACCAGCCACTCCTCAGAAACCTGACACAGGGTCTCTATGAGTCAGTAACGAATAGATGGCACTTAACAACAACAATAGAGATTAAGAAGAGGAGAGTGGCAAGAAATAACAATTTTGGGCAAATTTTGGACAATATAAGATTTTCTGGGTATCATAAATGCTTCCAATGCCAACACTGTGAGTGGTGGCTCATTTTCATTCAGAAACACATGAATTTCATTTACATTTACACAATTGTTCAGCTTTCTCATTCTTTGCAGATCCGGTAGAGAACAAACCCTCTCCGGGCTGGAGACCTTGGCTGTATAATTTGGGACGTGCTACCTGAAAGGGAGAATGAAAGCCCAATTCTCTTCTCAGGGAGGAATTGGATGTCTCCCAGATGAAGGGCACAGCAGCTGTGGAGGATAGTGAGAGCACAGATCCACGCTTGGGAACAGCATCCTTGGAGGTGGAGGATGTGAGGGGCCCAGTGATAGTGGCTCCAGGGGGCGCTGTCAGCTCATGTGAAAATTCCTAACACTGAACCTGCAGGGAGAAGAGCTCAGGATTTTGCCAAACATTCTCAGAGGCTTAATTTTAACCATGACTTTTCCCCTCCTCTATTCTTTTGGGATATTCTTGAGAAAAACTTTAATTTAGTTTCTTTACTCTGCCCCTCTCTGACTTCCTTTTTGACAGCAAAGAAATGTGAATCCTATCCTAAAAGGCATCAACCAGACATTCTAGAGATAAAAAAAATAGAGACATTCAGAGCTCCAGTGTCTGGGAAGCATCACACACACCTTCATCGTCTGGGCTGTGGGCTGCATGAGACCCCAAGTCTGGTCCAGCTATCAGGGACACTGCGATGATGTCACTGGGAAGCCATCCCATGCTCACAAAGGAGCCGACACTCATGTTGCTCAAAGGTACTGGAGAATCACTAAAATTCCACCCCTCAGGATCCAATCACACAGTGGGACAAGAACCAGATCTCTTGACTTCCAAGTCAGCATCTCCCTTTCTCCCCCAAGAATTCTCACTTCTCAACTGAAGTGGCACCAGCGACTGAAATGAGTTCACTTTCTTCTCTCCTGAATAGGTTAATACCAAGTACAGTTGGTGAGTGACATTAAAGTCCAGAAATACTATGAATTAGTCTGTTTATAGCCTTCCCAGCTTTTTCTAGAAAGACTACCATGAAACTTGGAGATGGATGTATTACTGGTTGTCTGTGGAGTCTTTTTTTTTTTTTTTTAACATTTGTTCCTGACAAGAGCATTGATAAAGTGCTACATACAGTGGACATTACTGAGACGGACTACAGGGGAACCAGGAAGTAAAATGACAGTGTAGGCTTGTCAACAATTCCTAGTTTGGATTTTTTCTCTCTGGAGGATAAGCACTGGACTACTAATTGAAAGTCTGGCAGTTAAAAGAAAGCAAACATTCATTTAAAAAGACAAGAAAGAAAGAAAAGATCCAAATGAATGTCAGAAGAGATTCTGAAGCTTTTTCTTGAACATACAGTAGCTAATACAAATGGAAAAAAAGATGAAGTAAAAGAGAAGAACAAAAGACTTCAAAGGGTAGCTCAGGATGATAAAGTATTGTTATGAAATGTGCAAGGACCTGGAATTAGAAAATCAAAAGGGAGGAACATTTTCAGCAAGTTAAATTTTGTTGAAGGTAATTCAGAAATGGTGGCAGCCATGTAACCGGTAACTGCCAATTCAAGCAAAAATTCAGAAGAGGACATGGAATGATGGCTATCATTGCTGATGCCATGTGAGTTTTGACTACAGAAAATACAAAAAAGATATCTACCTGTGACTTATTGACTATACAAAGGCATTTGACTGTGTGTTGTTAAGTACCTTCGAGTTGTGGCACCCTTGTATGGGGTTTTCGAGGAGTGGCTGGTGGGTTTGAACCACCAACCTAGTGTTTAGCAGTCCAGTGTTATCTTACAGTACCACACCAGGCCTCCACATCATAACAAATTATGAATAACATTGTGAAGAATGGGAACTACAGAACACTAATTTAGCTTATGTGAAACCTATACGTAGACCAATAGATAATCATTCAAACAGGCCAAGGTGAAAGAGAAGAGTCAGGGTTGTATTATTTTACCATACTTATTCAGTCTGTATGCTGAGTAAATCATCAGAGGAGCTACACTATGTGAAAAAGAACACAGCATCAGGATTGGAGGAAGACTCATTAACAACCTGTAATATGCAGATGACACAACCATGCTTGATGAAAGTGAAGAAGTCTTGAATTACTTAAAGCTGATGATCAGAGACTATAGCCTTCAGTATGGATTGCACCTCAACATAAAGAAAACAAAGATCTACACAATTGGACCAATAAGAAACATCATGATAAATGGAGAAAATAGTGACGTTGTCAAGAATTTAGTATTATTTGGATTCATACATAATCAACTCTCATGGAAGTATCAGTCATGAAATCAAATGACCTATTGCACTGGTCAAATTTGCTGCAAAACACCTCATTAAAGTTTTAATCAAAAGTAAAGATGTCAAAAAAGGTCCAGGCAGAATCTTAAACCTCTGAACTGTTACAATCATAACTTTAGTTGCTGTAAATGATGGCAGGGGTATTCCATGACAGTATTGTTGTTGTTTTTAACTGCCTTCACTGTGGTTCTGACTCACAGGGATCCTGTCTAGAGTTCCCAAGGAATATCTGGTGGTTTGAATCTCTGACCTTGTGGTTAGCAGCTGAGTGCTTATCCTACAGCACTACATCAAGTACTCGAGTCTGGCTGCTAATCTCATGGTCAGCAGTTCAAAACTACCAGCCGTTCTGTAGGAGAAAGATGAGGTTTTCTGTTCCTGTAAAGATTTACAGCCTCTGAAACCTTATACAGGTTCACTATTTGTTGGCATCAACTCCATGGCACACAACTATCACCACCACCAAAACATAATCACTGAAGAAAGGTAAGGTTACTCGTTACTCAGGGACATTAGGTGGAGTCCTCACCAGAGCAATGAAACCAAGTAAAATGTCAGAAATCCACCAAGCGCCTTAAAAACCCAGCTGCGGATCCTGAAGAAAAGGAACTGTTACTATTATGGAAATACCTGGGTACTTATGAATGTAGACTACCCAGAGAGTCGTGGGACAAAGAGGCACAAAAAGTCCTTCAAAGTTTTGGGATATAAACACATTTCTGTGTTCCCCATTCCACCTTCCCCACCCCAAGAAGACTTAGGCAAGTGGGATTCTCACTAACAAACAATAAGTTGAGCCCCAAAATTTGCATAATGCTGTATTTTACATATGTGCATAACCACATTTGCATCCTTGGATTTCAGTTTGTTTGGGGACTAGAAAAATTGCCACAGCTTGTTGAGGATCTTGAGATCAGAATCTACTGCCCGACTTAAATGAGTACACAGGCAAAGTACACTAAGCTATATGTTTGAAATTGCATTTGATAATATTGGATACTTAAGATTAGACCTAATATTTTCTTACAAATTTGTATTGTCGATGTGCTCAAAATCAATTGTTAGGAACAAATGTTAAGGTCATCATCAGTCTTGTTTATTGAACATTGTTATGAATATACATGATTGGGCTTCAAAGAGTTTGTAGAAAAATTCCATTCTCCTTCCATTCCTTATCTTCCATGAACATTTTCAAGTACCCTTGTATTTTAAAATATAATGGGTTGATGGTAAAGAACTCAAATTTCTTGGACAGCTTCCCCAGCTGTCCCCAAAGGTGGAAAAACATGATTCTTCCATTTCCTTACTCCAGCTAGTGTACATCAGTGTTGTTGTTGTTGTTGTTGTTAAGTGCTGTCGAGTCAGTTCCGACTCATAGCGACCCTGTACGGGGTTTCCGAGGGTGTAAATCTTTACGGGAGTAGAAAGCCTCATCTTTCTCCCGCGGAGCAGCTGGTAGTTTCGAACTGCTGACCTTAAGGTTCGCAGCCCGATTTGTAACCACTACGCTACCATACATCAGTGTATCCCCAACATTTTCTTTCTTCACTTAAAAGACATTGTCTTGGAAACACAAGGGGAAAAGTAAAGAACTGCAGCAATGACTATTAAAAAACATAAATAAATAAAAGTAAAGATGTCACTTTGCACCTAACTAAAGTCATAGTATTTTCAATCATCTCATACTCATGTGAAAGCAGGATACATTTGTAAGGAAGACCAAAGAAGAATTGATGCATTTGAATTATAATGTTGACAAAGAATATTGAATATATCATGCGTGCCAAAAGAATGAACAACTTTGTATTGGAATAAGTAGTCAGAATGCTCCTTAGAAGTAAGAATGGGGAGACTTTATCTCATGTACCTTGAATATGTTATAAGTAGGAACCAGTCCTTGGAAAAAAGAGGAAGCTAAAAAGAGGAAGCTCCTCAACCAGACAGATTGGTACAGTGGCAGCAATAATGGGCTCAGCTTGGTATGAATGGTGAGGATGGCACGGGACCAGATAGTGTTTCATTCTGTTGTACATAGGATCACCATGAGTCTAAACTGACTCAAGGGCACCTAACAAGAAAAATAATATTTAGTATGTTATCATAATCACTGGGGATCTTGTTAAATATACTGATTTGCCATTTACCCCAGACTCCCAGCTGATTCCATGTGGGAAGCTATATTTTGATAAATTAGTGATGTAGATTGTTGTTAAGTGCCGTAGACTTGGTTCCAACTCATAATGTCCTTGAAGGTTTCCAAAGAGTCGCTGATGGGTTTGAACCACCAACCTTTTGACTAGGAGTCCAGTGTGTATCCTACAGTGCCACATCAGGACTTTACCCAAAATCCCACTGTCATCAAGTAGATTCTGACTCACAACAGCCCTACAGGATGAATAGAACTGTCCTATAGGGTTTCCATAGGACTCCTGGTGTGGCACTATAGGATCAGCACTGGACTGTGAACCACAAGGTTGGTAGTTCAAACCCACCAGCTGCTTCTTGAAAACCTGAAACAGGGTTGCTATGATTCGGAACTGACTCGACAATGCTTACCAACAATAACAACAAAAAACATGTTGTTTGTGAACGCAGACTGCCACATTCATCTTCCACAGAACAATTGGTATGTTCAAACCCGTGACCTTTTGGTTAGCAGTTGAGTGCTTTAACTACTGCACCACCAGGGATCTTTGTAGGTGATTCAGGTCCCACATAACTGGAAATGTTGGTCAAAATGTTCCTCGTCTGCTTTTGGGGTAAAGTGACTGGGTTCTTAAAAGCTTATAAATGGCCGTCTAAGTTGCAGGTATTGGTCTTTCCACATCTAGAGCAATGACAGTGAATAAGATCAAAGACACGTGGAAACAATTAGTACTAATGGACTATGTGAACCCCAGACTCCATGACCCTGAGACCAGAAGTTGATGGTGCCCGGTACCACAGCCGATTGCTCTGAAAGGAATCACAGTAGGAGGTTCTGGATAGAGTGGGTGAAAAATCTACAACAAAACTCAGAATAATGAAAAGACCAGGCTTACTAACAGAGACTGATAGAGCCCCTGAGGCTGTGGCCCTGAGACACCCTGTAAACCTGGTACTGAACCCACCCCTGTGGTTCGCCTTTCAGCCAAATGATAAGACAGGCCTGTGAGGTGAACAATAACGCTGGGGAGGCATGCACTCAGAGCAACCAACCACATGAGATCAAAAAGCAGCATTTGCCCAGGGATAAAGCTCAGAAGGCAGGTGAAGGGACAAGGGCAGAAGTGAGAAGAATGCTGTTACAATGTAGGGATTGCACAATGTCACAAAACAAAATGATTGCATGAATTGTTGAATGGAAAACCAATTTTCTCTGTAAACTTTCACTCAAATCACAATATAAAGAAAAGAAAGAAAGGCAGAGAAATCCTATGAGACAACACAGCGCATTTATTTCTCTCACTGTTGGCTTTGTAGGATATCTCCAGAAGGGAGGAAAGATATCTCTTGGCTATTGTTCTCTCCCAACAAAATCAAGTAGGAAGAAAGCTTGGATGGAGAAATCAACTTTAAAGTCCCCAGAAGTGGAACGTGGTCTTACTTCACTTCTCACATTTAGGAAAGCTCTCAGTGGCACAAATCTATCCTGAGAAAAAATACTGAAACTATTTACGGAAAGGGAGAATTAGGTGAAATTTCTTGCAACTAGAATCAATGTGATAAGAAGCTGGTTGTTTTACTTAGTATCATACATTCTGCTAATATAGGAAAAGCACAAAAACCAAGCAAAAGGAAACAAGAAACCTCTTACCTAAAAAGAAATGACCCCATTCTGAACCTCTATTTGCAGTCCATGTAGACAACAAGTGTTACTGTCACACTGAAAGACTCTGGAAAACAAATGAGGGGTACAGAAAGCAAGTGCACGTTTCTTTAAGTGCTTGGCATTTCGGGAAAACTTTGTTTTTGTTTGTGAATTGACTGCAGTAAATTAAACGTGCTATGAAGACACCTTTTTTATTTTCTCTTTTGTCGTGGCCTAGAATTTCACAAGAAGAGCAACAGCTGTGTGGGTAGTGACCAGGGGAGGGGGCCTTTCAGAGTCAGAGGATGAAGTGAGCCAAGGAGATGGGGAGTGACTTCCTGTGTAAAAGAGATGAAAGGGGCCCACAAAACTGAGAAGAGCAAAACATCTGTGATGAGATGCACAGTAATTAATCATCTCCATCAGATTCCAACTGTCCTCCCCGCCGTCCACAGTGCAGTTTTGCTGACACAGAGGGAAACAAACACTTCTCCAAATACAGCAAGTAAAACACTGTTACAACTACATAAACAGCAGGCTCCAGCAGAAGGCAGTGGGCCTTTATTTTCAAAATTATGTATGAAATCATGCATGTAGAGCTACAGAGAAAGAAACGACAAATGCCCTTCTCTAAGTTTCCGTTGATACGAGTCCCAGGGATTAGCTGAGAATATTTGCCATCCCACACTGATGATGTTAGATGCTAAACTAGAAATGTAAGTCCTCTCTAGGAAGTTACTGTTCAGAAACGACAAACAATGGGGATTAGAGATCCAATTTTAAGTTGTTGTGAATTGATTCAACTCACGGTGACCCATGTGTGTCAGAGTAGAACAGTGCTCCATGGCTCATTTTTCAGAAGTAGATCGCCAGACCTTTCTTCTAAAGCACGTTTTTGTAGACTTGAACGGTCAACCTTTCTGTTATCAGCTGAGTGAATTAACTGTTTGTGCTGCTCGGCGTCTTTTGCTAGGGGATTCCAGATTGTCTAATTGTTACTGCTATTAAGTGCCTGTCTAGTGGATTCTGACTCATAGCGACCCTATATAGGGTTTCCAAGAAGCCACTGATGAGTTTGAAGCACCCACCGTGTGGTTCAAACTGACCTTGCAGTCAGTGCTGTCTTACCCTATAGCATCACCCTAGCACTCCTCTATCATATGTTGTTGTTGTAAGTGCTGTCGAGTTGGTTCCAACTCATAATGACGTGACCCTGTATAGGGTTTCAAGAGCAGCTGGGGGATTTGAACTGCTGACCTTATGGTTCTCAGTCCAGTGCAGATCCTACAGCGTCACTCTGTAAGTTAGAACACACACAGCTAATTCTTTTAGGATTTCTTTAATTCTCTATGAAATGAAAAGCAGTTTGGAAACTGACATCTAATAGGATGTGTGGAAGAATTACTTTGGCTTCCTTGCCATAACTCACTGAATGTTAGTTATTTGCAAGTAGCGGGGGATCTTACAGATCACCTTGTTTACTTTTAGTTACCTGCTTTGCTTGTTCTCCTTTATTTTAGCTCAAAGCAAAAGGCTTATAGTCTCAGCATTAGTTTTGTGTTTTCATGAGAAAGTGGCAACATTTAGGATGAGGGTCCTCAAATCAGCTCATTTAAAGTCAGCTAGGATGAA